TATTTAAAATGTTTTGATTATTCACTTGAAGTTAGAAGGGTCAATCCTTCATAGTTCAGCAGCTCCACTAGGAAGTGATGTGTCTTGGTCTCACTCCATGGAGCATTTAAAAAGAAGTGGATGTCCCCAGCTCTTCCTAAAGGACCACAGTTGCCTCTCTCTAGTCAGTGTCTCCCCACCCAGCTCAGGCTGCCCTGGGCTCTATGTCGGATGCCCCCATTCAGCATGGCCTCGGGGAACGGACCACACGTTTCACTCCATAGGTGATAAGTAATGACAGAGGGTCAGGCCCCTGCAGTGCGGACAGAAGTCAGGAGATTGAAGCTTTGTCGTGCTCGTGGGATGGCCTTTGGCTCCCCAGACCCAGTTGGATGGTGGTCTCTGAGCACCCTTAAGGAGGGTGGCCACACATCCCGACTTGCCCAGGATATCCCGGTGTACACTGTTGCCTGTGTAATTTTGGTCTCAGAGGTGTCCCTGTTTGGACAATGAATTACAGTCGCTGGAGCTCATTGATAACGAGCTGTTCTGGGGATGCACTTTGGGGAAGAAGTCGTTTGGGCCCATGCAAGAGGCACCCAGAGGTGGCTGCTCACAGCCATGTGCTTTGCTGGTCTTTACAAAGGGGCACTGAGCAGCGGAGGCAGAGCTGCATGGTACCCAGGGCCCCTTGCTGGCCTGCCCAGAGCCCCTTTCTGCTCTGTGTGACAGAGACCCCAGTGCTGTCTCAGGGTAGCTCTGGCGAAAAAGTGGGGGTGCATGGCAGAGGACTTCCCTCCAGCCCTTCTTTGTTCCTTTTGCTTTTTGCCCTTGTGAAACCATTATACTTCTCACACCAGGGGTTTTCCTTCCTTTTCAACAAACACTTGCTGAGAACCTCTGTGTCCAGCACTATGCTAGGCCCTTGGGGTCCTCAGTGCCATCAAGGAACTCACAGTTGGGGCAGCAGGCCCTCTGGTTCTCAGTAGTCCTCCAGCTGGCACACCAGGAGAGCCTGGAGAGCTTTTACAGAATGTTGATGCTGGTCCCACACACACAAATGCTGGGATTTAGTCAGTCTGGGAGTCGGAGACGTCAGAACTTTCCAAAGCTCCCCTAGGTGACTCTAATGAGCAACACAGGTTTTCTAGTGAAGAGACAGACACATGAGCTAGTAACAGTGAGACGATAGGATAATATAACGTTCTTCCACCCACACACCTGGGAACACCTTACTCCAGGGACCTGTCTGAAACCCAGTGAGCTACTTCCTAGAGCAGTGCTGGCCAATAGAACTTCCTGTGGTGATAGAAATGTTCCATATCTGTGCCATCCAGTTCAGTAGCCACT